TATCAATATACATTTTAATATGATTATTCAGCCAAAAAGTTCCTTAAAAGCAAATTAAAAAAATAAAATAAATGTCCATTCCCCTCTAGCCTCCACTTGAAGTTTGAATTTGTTTTTAAGTCATGAACAAACACAAAATACCTCAAATAAAGAAATTCACTTAAGGGATAAACTTGTTTCTCTCCCTCAGTTGCTCCAGTTTACAGATCAACCTAAAGCAAGGTGGAGTTTTTGGAAAACTGGACTGTTTTATATTATAAAACCTTTTGGAAAATTGTGAGATGAGAAGGTTGCATTTAAATCCAAGATAATCCACTGATCCACTGAAGCATGAAGTCAGCGTGTACGGATTAAACAGACACACTTCCTGCAGGTTGAAGTCAGGACATAGTAAACCCTTGTTGTTGGTCACTTAGATCCGTCTGATTACACCTTCAGCCACCTGTATTGCTCTGTCTGCCTTAATACGAGGCTTAATCAACATAATGCACTTCTCCTGTTTTAAATGGTGTGCTATCTGATCTCGTCCACATCACCGAAGCTCATCACCAGACCTTGACATCCAGCTGGCATCAAACTGAAACCTATGATGTTCAAGGACAGACTGGCAGCAGATTAGAGACCAGAACATGATGAAGAAAAGCTGTCGACATACACTTCAGTTACAAAAAAAATTGTATCAATGGGTGTAACTGTATGTGCACTCACACCTTATAGACAGTTCAGAATCCCCAGTGAAACTACTATCATGCTTTCAGGCTGTGTGTGTGTGTGTGTGTGTGTGTGTGGGGGGGGGGGGGGGGGCCCAGAGTAACTAACTCATGCACAGAGAAAACATGTAAATATCAACATATGTAGAAACTGTATAAAAATGTAAAAATGCCACAAAGCTGTGTGCTGTGGTTGTACCAACCAAAGAGAAAAAGAAAAATGTGTCTCAATTCACAAGTAAGCTGATTTTATCTTATTTATTTTTATTTTAACACAATCTAACCATGGGTAATTCTAGAATCTGCCCTTTAGGGGTGCTTAGCCCCCAGTGCTGACAATGGCTCTTGGCTTGAACAGCGTGGTGGCCCTTGTCATCAGAAGCATTATTTGTAATGTAAATGGGACACACTGGTAAGGGGTCTGAGGGTCCTCCCCCAGAAAATTTTGAATAAAGTAGCTACCATTTCCTGCATTCTGGTGTATTTTAACAGGTTGTTAAACATCTACGTTTACCTCCATAAGTCCATAAAGATAGAACTTTATATTATTCATCTTTAATTGATGAGAATAAAAATAACCCCAGGTTCCTTTTCAGTACCATAGCTAGTCTAATGAAATATCCTATCTCTGTCGATTCAAGTATCCCTACAACTATAAGCAATGATGACTTCATGAGATTCTTTATAAATAAAATTGTTTCAATTAGGGAATAAATTCAAACCAACATTTCTAGTATCACCTCTGGTTCTGTGTCAGATGAGACAACTTTAAAACTGTCACTAGAACCTAATTTATGTTTGGACTGTTTTTGTCCTGTTGAGCTCTCTGAATTGTCAAAAGTAATAGCTTCATCCAAACCATCCACATGTCTGCTAGATCCCATCCCAACCAGGCTATTTAAAGACATATTTTCTTTCCCAAAGAGCTCTAAAGTGACTAGTCTGAATGACTACCAGCCAGTTGCCCTCACCCCAATAGTTGCTAAATGCTTCGAAAAACTGGTCATGACCCACATCAAAACAACCATCACCATCAACGAGGACCATCACAAGTACGCATACCGTGAGAATTGATCAACAGAGGACGCCATCTCCTCTGTGGTCCACACTGCTCTTACCCACCTGGAGCAGAAGGACTCCTACGTCCATATGCTCTTTGTGGACTTCACGTCTGCCTTCCATACCATGATCCCCCAAAACCTGATGGACAAACTACTCACACTAAGACTAAGCCCCTCCATTTGCAACTGGGTCCTAGACTTCTTAACAAACAGACTGCAGTCAGTGAGGATCCACAACTTCTCCTCCTCCATCATAACCCTCAGCACTGGCTCCCCTCAGGGATGTGTGCTGAGCCCTCTTCTGTTCACGCTGCTCACGTATGATTGTGCAGCTACCCATCCAGGCTGTCACATTGTAAAGTTTCCAGATGATACAACGGTGGTGGGATGCATCACAAACAACAATGAGTCCAGCTAGAGAGCTGGTGCAAAGAGAATAACCTTCACATCAATGTGAAGAAGATGAAGGAGATGGTTGTGGGCTTCAGAAGGAACAAACACACCTAACCCCCCCCCACCCACCACCCCCCCAAACATAGAAGGATCTGCAGTGGAAAGTCTCCAGCTACAAGTACTTGGGTATGCACCTGAATGGCAACCTCAGCTGGGGCAACAACACTACCAGCCTGATCAAGAAAGCTCATCAGAGACTCTACTTTCTCAGGCGGCTGAAACAAGCTGGTCTGGGAAGCTTGGTCCTCACCTCCTTCTACAGGTGTGCAGTAGAGAGCATCCTGTGCTCCAGCATCAACATGTGGCATGGAGGCTGCACAGAAGACTGTTGGAGTCAGTCTCCCTACCATCACAGACATCTACACCTCTAGATGCAGGAAGAGAGCCACCTGCATCAGGAAGGACCCCACTCACCCAGCACACACACTTTTTGCCCCGCTCCCCTCAGGAAGGAGGTTAAGGAGCATTAAGTGTGAAACCACTAGACTGAGGAACAGCTTCTATATTGAAGCTGTTAGACTCATGAATATCTAATCTGGATAATCACTTTGAGAAATCACATCATGTTGCTGCTGATCTGTTTCATGTTGCTGTGTTCATTCGTGCTCATCTGCTCACACAGACTCATTGTTACGTCCACTGATTTCTAGGGGGTTCTCTTACTAGAGGACAACCTTTCTCCTCCTTTGCTTGTTTACAGGCCTGCTGTCACACCATGCTGCACACCTGGAATCACTTCCTCCTCATAAGTGGACTGCATGAAAGCTTCAGTGATCCGGCGCCATGCCCTTTCTCCTTGATCTCTGTGCAAAACATTTTAGCAACTCTGAGTTGATTTCTTTTAACTTCTGTGAACAACTCTATATAAGAAACCTTTTGTTTAGATGGAAGTTTGGTAGGTGTTCTCTAAAATTATTTTTAACTAGCTTTTCTCCTGTTTTGTGGCCAGCCAGGGAGCCTAGGAATTGTAGTTTTAGTTTTGTTAAATTTTTTTTCATTTAGCCTTTATTTATACAGGTTAGTCTCATTGAGCCACGAGAACTCATTTTCAAGAGAGACCTGTTTAGGGAGCACATAGTGGGGGTTAAGGGCCTTGCTCATGGGCCCAGAGTGGGGCGAATGAGGGTGGGGGCAATTTTTTGATGTTGTCGGGGCCGGGGCGTGAACCGGCGATCTTCGGATCACAAGCCCACCTCTCTAACCTCTGCGCCACCACTCCCAAATAAGAAGCCAATAGGGGCATTCTTTTGTTTGTTGTTTTGGCCTTTGAGACCCTGATGTTCATGGCTTCCCTTCCTGTCTGTAACACCCAAAACTCCTACACGATTAAATTATTGTAATGCCAAGTTGGGTTGGTTTGAGTTATTAGCTTTATGTTTAGTTTACAATTTTTGTGTTACACCTTGCACCTCCTAGACTTATTCAAAGCGTTGTAACACTCATGTTCGTGCTGCTGTTCAGTGTATTGTTTTTGTGCTATTAGCGCTTAGTGTATATTTAGTTGATGTTTTTCTTAGTTCATATCTTAGAGCTTATTGCTGTTTTTCTTTTACATTTTATTGTGGGAT